GCACGGGGTTTGATTCCCAACGGCACCAATGACATTGTTTATTATAATTTTAAGTGCTGATTTACAACGTGCTCGGCGATGAAGGTAAACGTCGTGAGGTAACCTGTATGTCTTAGAATATTTAAAAAAATCTTTGAAAGATATGTAAAGTACGCCAACACGTGTAGGAACAGCGCGGTGGACACTTCCTCGACTAAAATCCTTTCAGAAAAGAGAGGAGCCTGTGCCCAGGAGGGAGATAATATATGGGTTGTAAATTTATTTTTACTAGTTAAAATGGAAAAGGCTATTAAGATCAATTACACACCGCACTTATGAATCGAACCCGAACGAAACCAATAGAGTCGCTGGTTTTAAATAAACCAGTGTTATGCTCTCCATAATATCTAAATAACGCTCTAGCAGTACACAGTTACCGACTTTTAAAGTGGAAGTTAATTCATGGGATTTTAATCAATTCCCGAGATCGCCACTTAATCGCTGATTAATTTTCCTGTCATAATCCATATTAAACTTTTAAAAAATCCAAAGGGGACGAGACGGTGAGAGTAGAGATGGAAAAACATAAATACAAAAGAATTCAAATCTATAAAAACACAGAAAGTTTACTATTAAAATATTTACATAGATAGACAGGCTGTGGTTACAATTTCTTTGTCATTCAAATAGTAATTGTGTCAATAGACTCAAACTAATTTAGCTCATTTCGTAGTGATATATAAATAGAAAAGGAGTTGGTTGAACAGCAAGCAAACAAGGGTTTGTGTATTTATCGTGCGCGTTTAGCAGGGACTGCAAACAATTAAACGTTAGTGCCGTGAAAAAGACTCACGGTAATAAATTCATTTCCCTAATTGAGTATTTCCATACGTTTCTTTCATAAGTCTCAACCCTTTCCCCTTATACAATGAGAATATAACGGTTTTGCCCCGCTAACCGGTACTCGCTGAAATACCCGGCATTATATATTAAATAAAGTGTACAACAGGCTTGCAACCACTCCCTTAGTACTGCTAATAATACTTTATCGCAGCCAGCTACCTAACCTACTTACATGCTTTTCGTTATTTTCATTTAATTCATATTTATCTCAATACATTCTTCTTCCTCACATCTAAACACGCTTTCAAAGTATTGCTTCCATCCAGAGGCGGATTCACACATTTGCCGCCAGTAGGCTAGTCAAATTTTGCCGCCGCTACCGACTTTTACAATTCGATACCCTAGTTCACAATCAGGTATGTCAGAATCGTGCCATATGGAAGTCCGTAATCTCTGCCTACCCCTCTGGGTAACAGACGGGAGTGTTTATGTATTATTATTATGTATATGTATTCACAATCATATCAATTACATCATTGTTGTCAATTAAATCGTCACTTTATGATTTCCGTCGCTCCTAGGCTCCAGCCTACTTAGCTTACTGGTAAATCCGCCACTGCTTCCATCTCTTTAAACTCGCAACTTCGTCATTCAACATGCAGCTACTTTCACCTAGCACTTTTGACGAGTTGCCAAAATATTTTTCTGAAAATTATCAGACAGTCAGTCTTCCATCGATTTTTGTCATTTCTTGCTTTAAATTGATTTCTTTATTTACTCTCTTCGTCTAAAAACTACCTTTATATACATATATATTCAAATTATGTAGGTTAGTCATCGACATAAATTGCTTCAACTCAAATTAAATTAATTTTTTTTAATTTTTTAATTTTGTAAAATGTATGTTAAAGTTTTGTAACGTAAATTTTATTTTGTAACGTGGTAGAGCCACACTGCAGCTTTATTATGGTTGTAGCATTAATTGGTCGGCTCGACCAGGGAAGGACAACGCTCTCACAGAATACCAGCGTAAAATAGCAGCTTAATACTGCTGTGTTTCGTATGGTGATGGTGAGATTCGGAGACCCTTTTTTACTGGAAACGAGGCATTCCATCTTTGTCCTCAGGGGTGAAAACGCATCTGCGTTTTGATTCTTAATCGAGGATAAATGTAGATGTCTATGCGCCACAGCATCCGTTTACCAACAGGTGGACTCGTTTCTCACCCTCATTCTATAAAAAATAGATGGAAAATGGCTTTACAAACAGAATTACAACCAGAACTACCAGTCACTGTACATCTAGCCTAGCTCTCTATTTTGCTAAAACATTCATTCATACCTCAATATCCTGACATAATTTAAATACGTATATAAATTTAAAAAAAATTGAAACATCTGATTGTAATATCGAGAGAACTGACTTCTAATCTCAGGGTTCATTTACATGTTATTGAGACACGAACAATCATTTTTAAAATTGTATCTGTCTGTCTGTCCAGGTTATTCTTCTGTATGGCTGAACCACAGAAATCTAAATAATAAGGCAATATTATTTAGATTTCTGTGGGCTGAACCAATATTGATGAAACCACACGTAGGGATAGAGAGCTGTGAATTTTATCCCGAAAACATACAGATCTTTTTTTGTTAAATCAAAAATACTGATAAAATAAGGGATTTCGAATGATTATCTCATCTCTCTCATAAGCTATAAGATTAAAAAAAAGTTTAAGTTATAAACTTTATGTAAAATTACAAATAAAAAAAAACTTTTTTATTTGTAATTTTACATAAAAAGGGTTCATTATACTCTCTCTTAGTTTTATTGCAAATTGCAAAATCGATTGTACTTTAACACAATAAATCTGCGAGTGTTAAAGGATAAGATGATAAAATATTTTTATGTGGTATTGGTAAATATTTAATTTAAATTTTAAGTATTTTCCCATTACGCTTATAGCTTTTGAAGTAATGTAAAAAAAAACTAAGTTAGTGTTTTTTTTAATGATTTCTTAAATTTACGCGAACACTACTCATTGAATAAAACTAAATTTACGGATTCTATCGCGTTTATTTAACTGATTTTACTTATTTTTAATTTCCGACGTTTCGGGTGCTTTACAGCAACCATTACAGAGTCCCCCCGTGACCATGGTTGCTGTAAAGCACCCGAAACGTCGGGAATTAAAAATAAGTAAAATCAGTTAAATAAACGCGATAGAATCCGTAAATTTAGTTTTATTTAGTGTTTTTTTTTTATTTAAATAAAGCAAGTGTATTATAATTCCTGTAATTTTTTATGAGCCGTGGTAACTCAAGCAATCGCTCTAAATTTCACAGAACGTGAGCAACCCTTCCCTTCGATCCCCGCCAGCACCAATGAAATTTTTAATTGAAATTTTATGCGTTGGCTTACCACGTGCTCGGCGGTGAAGAAAAACATCGTCAGGAAACCTGCACGTCTGAGACATTAAAAATGATGATATTTGATCTCCACCACCACGAATTCGTGCAGCGCTATGGAGACTCCCTTTACCTTAAACCCTCTCAGAAATGAAGCCAAGAGTGGGATGAATATAGGCTGTAAGTTTACTTCTACGTTTTTGCTCAATTTACGCAGATACTTTTCTTTCACGCCTTCTAATTGTAACCTTTCCGTAATGAAATAGTAGCCCCATATGTCCGACACCGGCAACCTCTAATTTTAGTACACAGGACAGGCTCTAAATCAGTTACCGAAATTCATAACAGTAGATAGATCAAAACGCTTGCTGTCTGGATAAACTAGTGGAAGTCAAAGAAAGGTGCCATTTAAGATTTAAAAAATTACGCGTACAATTCGAAAGAAGTCGGTGTGTATCGGTGCCCTACCAAGGTCACTAACTTTCATTTTGGTGGAAAAATTAGTAAAGACCTCTGCCAAAGTATATCAAGAGACTGGCTTGGATTGAAGCCTCTCAGTGATACATTTTTCAAGAACGTGTCATAGACTTTCCAGCAAGAATCTGCTCCTGGTTACAAGGCACGAACACAATACTTGTTCGAGAACAATGTTCTGGACTACGTAAGAGCTGAACCCTAGCCTTCGTCCAGTACAGATCTGAACAGGTTGAGCCAGAAATTGTAATCCATACTATGATTTGCTTAAACCGTTAGTCTGAGATTGAATCTTTAAAAAAATGCGAAGTCCAATTTAAAGAAATCTTTAAAAGAGACTTCGGGTAATAAGTAAACTATACGCGTTTTATTATTATTACATTGTGTCTTTAAAAACAGAAAACAAGCGTAATTTTTGCCTCAAATCACATTTCACTTTTGTAAGAATATATAATTTCAGTCAAGATGTGAAGGCGATCACGGTATCTTAAAACTGTAATTTTCGAATGCTGATTGACGGAATTCACATTTCGCTAATCATATATAATTTCCGTCTCAAATCACATCCCTTTTTGTGTGAAAGAAAATGTAATGAAATAGTATGATAGAAAAGTACCCCATTAACCGAGTTCCAAAACCGAGAATATTATTCGACGGGTATGTACTTTTTGTGTACGTTCACCGATTTCACGAAACCGATGATGATTAATGAATCTTTTAAAACCGATTATTAATTAATCTTCTTTTATTAAATAATAGGGTGGGGTAGTGCCATATAAGATTTAAGAAAAAAATCACTCCTAAGGCTTGAATTATAGAGAATGAAGTTTTTAATGTTACTATTTTGGTACCCTAAACTTTTCTTAGTACACTCAAGAGGGTGAATTAGTAATAATCAACTTCAAATAGTAGAGATGAGGACGACTTTATATTTATGTCATTTGCTGTAGAGACTATCGGTCCCTGGGCTCCACACGCGAGAATAGGGAGGGCACTTCACTGCGGCGAGTGGGACAGGATTTTTAGTTCTTAATCTCTTTTACTGTAATAAATATAGTATACTTACATAATAAGTTACGTAAATAAATATATTAAAATTAAATAATAAGCACTTAAAATATTGCTGTAACACCGGTGATTTAAATTGGGCTGCATGCATAGGCACTTTAATTAAATTTTATATATATTTTATTTATTTTATAATTTATATTATATAGTAATTTTAATAATGATTATAAAATTATGGGCTTAAGGCCCAGTTTCCTTAATTTACTTAATTAAGTATACATTTAAAATTACCTCTTGAATAAATATTTCTTCTGTGGGCGAATTTGTATCCAACAAATATCTATCATCGCATAATCTTGAATACATGTAGAAGTAGTGACGGTGTGATGTCACGTTCAACGGATCCCGGCCTTTGTAAACACGAGGACTAAATGGATTCACCGCACTGTCATCAGTGTCCTCGCAGGATTTATTTAAGAAGGCTTGCCCTTCATTACAACACTTCCACAAGCATACTCTTTCAATACACGGGCATCCAAGCCTAATTGTCGTACCATCTTCCTCCAGTTCGTACCACGTTTCCTTTTTATACTCTACACCATCGTATATTATAGAACCATTAGGGAATGTCACACCGTTTGTGATATTTAAAGACTCGATTCTATTGCAAGGACTACAATTACAAAAGTATATAACAAGCAAAATATGTGTAATCACTAAAACCTTCCTCATTTTCACTAGCTCTCGTCCTCACACGTTTAAGTCTGCAGTAAAAATTCACAACCGATATAACAGTTTCGTCATGATTGTTTTCATATCGAACTTCAAGAAAACAATCCAATTCTGACTAATAATAAAATGAAAACTAACTCAATCTGAAAAAGAGGGATCGCTTATCGCATATAAAGTGTTCTTTATCACACTCATGAGGTAATTCGATGTATCATTTTTATAATGATAAGAGATAACAGTAAGTTCTATTCTGTCGCGGCCCCGACTGACTGAGGCAAGACGAACGTCACTTTAACGCGGTACCTGGTTCCCGACTGAATGAACTGACTATTCTAGATTGGATACGTGCAGGAAATTTTGGTATAGCTGGCAGGACGCGATGACCATAATTATAATACAAAAACAAAATACATCATACGCTATGATATTTAATCATCTAAACTGTATTTTCTTAATTTATTAAGAACATCAATATTGTGATTACAACTATTAAATTACATTCATTCTTTCATTTAATTCGTAGATTTCGAGATTCGTAGAGTTGTAGTGGCTCAGGGGCTAAGCGCGATGTAAAGCGCAAAAAATCGCGAGCAATCCGGGTTCGATCCCCGGCTGCACCAATGAAATGTTTCATTGAAATTTTAAGTGCTGATTTACCACTTGATCGGTGGTGAAGAAAAACATCGTGAGGAAACCTGCATGTCTGAGAAATAAAAAAATAAAATATATTTCGAAGATATGTGAAGTTAGTTTTCCTTGCCTTAAAACCCTCTTAAAAATAAGAGGAGGTCTGTGCCCAGCAGTGGGACTTATATAGACGTTAACTTTAAGCTTATTCATTTCATTCATTCATTACATCATATCAAATATCCACTGCTGAACGTAGGTGTTCCCATGGTTGTCTCACAGGGGTTATATTTGCCATTGTTGCCACGCTGGTAGGGTGGTTTCATTTACCCGCAGTTTTTAATTTTTTATAGGATAGGGTGAAACAACCCCTGATGGTAACACCAACAAATTCCCCATTCCTACAACTATACTACTAATACAACTGCAGCATGGCTCTATAGCTTTTTAGTTGTTTAGTAGTAAGACGCTGTAATATATTAATAGAAAATATATTAATGTAATAATAAAATATTAACTACCATTGTTGGCGACGCGGAGCAACGTTCCCTAAAATGATCAGTTGTTTCTAGTAATAGAACGTTTTATTTAAATAATAATTTTTCTTTGAAAGAAAGATAAGCTTTAAATTTACTTAGAATTATTCGTTTCGTAGTAGTTGGCTACTTAATACGATTAAAAGAATTAAATGTTTATTGTTTGTTATAATTTGGAAGCATGTGTTACATATGTAACACATGCTTCCAATGTGGCACACGATAAATCAAAAAGACAGCTAAATGCTAGAGAGAAATGGTATTACATACTAGACAAAGATAGCTATAAATATTAGAAAGGCAAAGCAACAACCTCCTTTTGGGGGTCGTGTAGAAATGAATTGTTCAACTCGTATGGGTAATTAGCATCGCTGAAATATAGTCTCAAAATATATTATTTTTAATTGTTTAAAGTAATAACTGTTTCATGAAAATTATGGAAATTTATGTAACAAATAATTCAGGATATTTTTATAAAATAATAATTCAAGGAATATGTTAAAAGCATTTAATTCTATTAAAAATTATCAAATTAACAGTAAAAATGCATGTAAGAAATTAAAGCTCATTTAAGTATTTGTTTTAATTTGTGAATAAAACTGTTGTATTGTATTATTATAGTATATATTATAATATTATTGTTGTACGTCTAATACTTCGTAAAAATTGTATTAATATAGTTTTCAGTCGACATCAGAGATTTATGACGTTATTCTTGTTATGTTAATGTTTTGATTATTATTATAGTGATGTATAATGATATTATTGTGAGCAATAAAGTTAAAGAAAATATGGAAATGCAAATGCGATAGTGAAAATTGATAGCTAGCTTATGTCAAAATGGCTCTGTGCGTGCGGTTCTTCTTGCGGTAAAAATTCCGGGGTAGAATAGTGATTCGCTCAACTTGCAGTTCTCTACCTCGCCGGAACCTAGCCTCGCGGAGGAGAACACCATCAGAGGAGAAAAGGCTGAGGCCCGGTTCGGACTCTATATCCGAATCGGCATCGCCAACCACTTTCACTACCACCTCCACGACTACTCCATCTCCCTCCGAAAAACAGCCAGTGAGGAGACATAGCTCGCCGCCGGATCCACCATCCCCAACTACCTCCCCGAGCTGTAGGGCAACTGACATACAGGAATTCGGGGAGCAGGACCCAGAAGTAAAAGAGCCTCCTATGCCACTCCTGCCCCCATACAAGAAGATATTCCAACTAGTTTTGAGCCAACACCTGGACCATCTTTGGTTGTACACGTATGAGCGCGTTGCAGCGGCACCTAGAACGGCGCCGCCATCATCACCTCCACCACCTGCACCAAGGCTACAGCAGCCTGCAGAGAAACAAATAAAATACCCTCCTATAATCGTTGAAAGCTTCCCAAATTGGGTGAAGCATTTTAAAACTTTACATCAACTCCTTGGCCATGCTCCGAACGCTCGCCTATTTGGGTAGGAACCAAATTCCGGCTTCAATTCAGTAAAGAACACCGTATAGTCCTGAAGTAACTGGTAGAGCTTAGCAAAGAGGAAGCCACCTTCGCGTGGTATTGCTACGCTACACACGAAGAACCCACGAAGGTGGGGCTCAGAGGGCTCCCCGCCGATACAGATTCCAAGGATATCCAGGATGCCCTTATTGAGAAGAACTTCCCAGTCACCTTTGTGCGCTCGATCCCACCCAAAAGAGACAGGTCTGGCTGTCTCTTTCACGTTAAAACTGGAATATTTATCAGTTCGTTTTAATTACTGGTAAGTACCTACTTTCTTATTAGCTACATAATATGTACATTATTTCTATGCTATTTAGATTTTACATTATTTTATATATTCAGAAAATTTCGTTTGACGGAGGATGAAGACTAAGGTGACTGTGATGATGTCACCTTCCTTATGATTGACCAAAGAGGTAAAGGATCTTAGTGATGCTACGTAGAATCATCGTGTTTTTCCAAGTCATTTTCAAAAAAGTTCATGAAGACCTAGATGACTATGATGATATCACCTAGTTGATGGTGGACTCCAAAGATAGGTATAGGATCTCAGTGACGCCACTAGATAGGACGATCGTGTTTGAACTCATTTGAAAGGGCACATAAAGACCTAGGTGACTATTATGATCTCACCTTTCTGATGGTGCAATACGAAGGTGGATATAGGTTCTCAGTGACGCCACTAGATAGGACGATCGTGTTTGAACTCATTTGAAAGGGCACATAAAGACCTAGGTGACTATTATAATCTCACCTTTCTGATGGTGCAATACGAAGGTGGATATAGGATCTCAGTGACGCCACTAGATAGGACGATCTGTTTGAACTCATTTGAAAGGGCACATAAAGACCTAGGTGACTATTATAATCTCACCTTTCTGATGGTGCAATACGAAGGTGGATATAGGATCTCAGTGACGCCACTAGATAGGACGATCGTGTTTGAACTCATTTGAAAGGGCACATAAAGACCTAGTTGACTATTATAATCTCACCTTTCTGATGGTGCAATACGAAGGTGGATATAGGATCTCAGTGACGCCACTAGATAGGACGATCGTGTTTGAATTCATTTGAAAGGGCACATAGAGACCTAGATGACTATTATAATCTCACCTTTCTGATGGTGCAATACGAAGGTGGATATAGGATCCCAGTGACGCCACTAGATAGGACGATCGTGTTTGAACTCATTTGAAAGGGCACATAAAGACCTAGGTGACTATTATGATCTCACCTTTCTGATGGTGCAATACGAAAGTGGATATAGGATCTCAGTGAAGCCACTAGAAAGGACCATCGTGTTTGAACTCATTTGAAAGGGCACATAAAGACCTAGTTGACTATTATAATCTCACCTTTCTGATGGTGCAATACGAAGGTGGATATAGGATCTGAGTGACGCCACTAGATAGGACGATCGTGTTTGAACTCATTTGAAAGGGCACATAAAGACCTAGGTGACTATTATGATCTCACCTTTCTGATGTTGCAATACGAAAGTGGATATAGGATCTCAGTGACGCCACTAGAAAAGACGATCGTGTTTGAACTCATTTGAAAGGGCTCATAAGGACCTAGGTGACTATTATGAACTCACCTTTCTGATGGTACAATTTAAAGGTGTGTATAGGACCTCATTGACGGCGCTATATAGCGCTCAGTCCCCCGTGACCATGGGTGCTGGAAAGCACCCGAAACGTCGGGATTTTAAAATTAAACGCGATAAAAGCCATAAAAGTAGTTTTAATCCAAATCTATTATATATTATCAAATGTATTTATGATTTTAGGCTTCCTACTAATATTTTAATAAGACATGAATTGGCAACTGCTATAAGACTGAACCGAAATAAACCACAATGGCAGCCGTCCTCATCGTGTGGTTTGTTTAAGACTATTTTCATAAGACCGACTTGTACGACACAAAACGTGGTCTTCGCCGAGTTCTCAGAACAGGATATTCAAAAAAGGTATTTTTAACCGACTTCAAATAAATAAAGGGGTTATTTTTTCTTCTCGTATATGTTATATTATGTGTTTTGTGATTTTCTCAGTATCCAGTATATCATTCGTTATTAATTACTTGTTTATAATTATATATTTAGATTTTTCCACAGTTTTTTTTCGATTGCAGAAATTATTTGGGCCTTGCAATGCAGTTCTCAATGACAACTTTCATCTTTTTACAATATGGGCCCAAGAATGTATGAAAGCGTATCAGTCTCCATTATTTGTTAAAATATTTTAGTGAAATAAAGCATTATTTTTGAGGTATCTATATAGT